GAGATCTTTCGGAACCGAAAGTTCATTTACTAAATTGGCAGCTTGCAAAGTACGCCCAGGAAGCTCGAAATTTCAAGCTCCAAACGCGAAATATGAAACTGTCTGTCAGAATCATGTCAGTAGATATTATAGCACTCTGAGATATACGTTATCTTTGATATAGGTGAGCCTCTGGGGCGCCTCAAGTTTGGCCAATATTCGTTCTTCTCACAAAGAATCATTTTATTACGCAAAATTTCGAGTGATATCGAGCACATTTTAAACAAACAAAGACACAAATGTTAACCAAATTCTGCCCTAACGTATCAAATTAAGCATTATTTCGAATCTCGAATTGGAGCAAAATCGATATCCCAACGAGTCTCAGTCAACCATAACTGCACACAACATTTTCGGTTTACCGCAAAAGTGTGCACTTGAGCAAAAGCCCCCTGTTGCAAAAAGAATTTCTTCCTCAGAGCAGAGAAAAGAAAACATTCCTCTCGAAGAAATCGGATGAGTCGAATAAAAAACCAATTAAACGAAAACTGACCTGTATCGACTGAATTGACTGACCTCCATATTTCGTTCAGTCTATGCGATGGCATCACATAGTGCTGTTAAAGACACAGCCTATACTGAGTGTGGTATGGATGGTCTTCCTTGCTTAACATCGGAGTTTGCGAAGGGTTGGCTGGATGACTTGGATACGGTATGTTTGATTTAACGATTTTAGTCCTATCAAATAACGATTTTGTCGGGCTTATAGATCAGTTATATACACAGTTTTGTTGTGATGGGCAAGTTGCTGAAAAATTAGTCTCGCTAATCTGTCACTCGCTGACAAAGCATTTTGATCTGCTAAAAATAATCCGCCAGTAATGTCGCTGACGAAGTGGTAGCGAAAGAGCGCCGATGACCGCAAATCTAGCGAATTTATCGCTACTAAACTCTGCAATGTGAAAAAGTAAAGAGTTTCCATGGCATCACTAAATTTGCCTCCGTTAGTAGCGAATAGCGCGTTATTGCCCACTACTGCAATTTTATCATTGGGTCAATGAGAACGAAATCGCATTTATCACTTCGAGAATTTAGACTTGATTAAAGCATGTTTCTAGTTCATTACGGCTGTTTCTAATTCAGTTTCATCATACTTGCTGTGCAGATTGAGCTTCCTGGAAGATTTCAGCAACAACCCGGTATTAATCGAACCTTGCGTCAACAATACGAAGTTGTCGCTGCTAATATGATAGCCAATATCGTATCACGATATGGTGATCTTTCGATTGAGAATGAATTAATTGCCGCTTTCCAAGGATCGCAACCGGTAGGAAGCCAGCCAGGCTCCTGTTTTCAAGTATAATTTAACACTGCAACGTATCTTTCACTCGAAACCACTGCTGTTATTGAACCAGCTCTTACTTTTTTCATACGAATTTCTTGATATTGTTGAAATGTTTTAGCGAGATCAGCACCACAACGGTAGAAGATAAATTTGTTATTGATAGGAAATTTCATCGACGCCTACTGTTGATACAGAAAATCCTATTTCTGTTGCTATCGGTTGTTAATGAGAATGGAAAAGGTCCTGCGGATTAGTGTTGTACGGGGACTCCCCGGATTTGGGGTCCCCGTCCTCGAAATTCCCGACCATTTTGAGCGGCGGCCATTTTTGGGGACCTTCCCCGTGCCCGAGTTCCTCGTCCCCGTCCGCGAGCTCCCCGTTCTCGACCATTTTCGAGCAGCGGCCATTTTCGAGGACTTTCCCTGTCTCCGTCCCCGTCCCCGACTCATTTTGCTCTCCCCGCACAACAATTCTTCGGATGATACCACATATCCAGTTAACTATCAACGACTGAGCACAAAAACTGGAATTGCTTGCAACATCGCTGTTAAATTCATGAACGCCTCACACGATAACCGAAGAACCTTAGTCAGGTATTTCTATGACTAAGGTTATTCAGGTGCCGTACAGACCCCATCTCACTTCTAACATATAACAGATGTCTACTTTGCGAACGCTCGCAAAATTCAAAGCTGAAGTATACCTCATAACTTGAACCATATTTTTCTTGCTATGAGGCATAAACCGTAAATTTCAATCCTGCAGTGAATGTTTGTGATTATTCAGCAATTCAGTGTTCTATGTAGAGCAAGTATTCTGACCAATTATTATCAGTAATATCAACTGAATATCGACTGTATATTGAAGCAAAAGATACAAAGACCTGTTGATCGGATGCAGCATGCGCGTCCTCACGTGCTTCAAGAACAGCTCAGTAAATTGAAAAAACCGGTCAATATCAAGGCGCAGAAAGTATGTTTTGCATTTATCAGTTTCCATTAGTTTTTCTTTAGCTAACGTGTTCATAAAACAAACAGTACAAACTTTTGTGCTATTAATTTTTTCTCCGTTGCACAAGAATAATTTCTTAATTCGTTCAGTATGAATAAACTGACCAAGCAATTACTGGGAATGTGGACGCTCTGTTCAAAATAGCTTGCATAATTATTCAATTGAAAATTGTTACTGAAAAATGCTCTCAAATATCGATCATTTAAGAAACGTCAATATCTGGACGAATTCATGAAGGAATTGATATTCAAGCTATTCAACACCACGGAAAAACAGCAACGCGTACTCAATACTCCAAGCGGACCTATAAAACATCCGGAATGTCATTCTAAAATGCTCGAAGCATTCCATCAGAAGTGCTTCAATTTCAACAAAGTGAATCAATTTCATCTTTTTATTTGATTCTGCACGTTTAACGAGATATGCGTCATCTGAATGACAAAATATCATCCATCCAATTAACATTAGATTTGGCTGGATGTTTCCTCAGCTTTTCTTTCGGCAAATTTTGTTCTGAATCCATTCTGAATGAGTCGTTGAGGCTGAGAAATTTCTTCGCATGAAAACTCAATTCATGTGCTTAATACTCTATCAGATATTAATCTCATAATGAAATATTTCGATTGTTTTTCAGAATCCATACGCTGCTGAGTACTCATCAGTGCTGTCGAATATATGCAGCGAAGGAGTGAATGTTGATACTGTCATTAAGAAAATGATCGATCATTGTCAAGGGATTACAGTCACTAATATCGAATGATTTTTGCTGACGAATAAATCAGTGATAAAGTCATCTATTTTAAATTCTTATTCTGCATTCAGTTATTCAATAAGATTGTTTATCACGTAATGCATGCTTGATCACTGTGGATATCATCAGCAGTGATATATCCACATGTATTGTGTATATGACAAATAAACGTTTGAAGCATACGATGTGACAACAATCTTCTCCGGATCTTCTAACGAACTTACTGGTTCTTCATGAGTACACCATATTGTTCCAGTTTTTCATGGCTTTCCTGAGTGGTTCTCTGAGGGAATGTAAGAGCAAGCGAACTGAAGACTCAAATTTGCTCTGCAAAATAAAGTTATTGTTTGTATCATTGTTCGCATCGGACGACGCCTTTAGTTTCCTGCAAAATTCGTTTATTTGTTAAATGGTTGCGTTCGTTAACTAGAAACAGTTATTGCTCAAATTGTTTCATGCAACGTATTGCCTCATTTCAACGACGAAATATTTTCAAGTTTGTGTCGTCGAAAATTTCAACTGCTTCATTCCAAGTGAGTCGAGAAAAAAAAATAAGTAAATGAATATGCCCGCGATAACATCGACGATGCAAAGCGAGGAGGATGATGATATGGGAATCAGATCACTGTTATCCCTTTTGGTTTTGTGAGACGCTGCTAAGTGGCTCAATGTTTTCACTGTTTCAATTTGAGAACTCCATTCTCGGCACATTTCCTATTTCCACTCATGATAAATAACTAAATCCAATAACATTCCGTCAAAAATGTCAATGAGGGCACCGCATCAAAAAAACTTTTGTAGAGCATCATTGAGCTATCATCACACAATTCAGGGCGTCCCGCTTATCAGTATCTGNTGAATTATCTTACAATGAATACAATCGAAATGGACAATATAATCAAAGATGTGCTGGAATTCATTGCAATTCATTGTAATTTGTGCATTTGTGACAATTTTGCATTGAAAAAACGCAATTTCATAGTGCTTTCAAATTTTCATCACTTCATCATGTTGATATACACTAGTTGATACAAATCTATTTGCTGCTCTTGCTGTTTAAAACTTGAGCTTTTATAGCACCCGAAAAGGCTTTATGGATATTAGAGTAACCTATTTGCTCTTCTTACGACAACCACTGGTGCGGAGAAATGGGTTGAAAATACAGTTAAAGCTATATAAGGCTATTGATATGATATAATAGCCCGAGGTCATCCAGTGATGGGAAGAGAACTTATGCAACTGCATGTGAATAGTGATTATGGATATAATTGTTGACTGTTGAGTATGCCTGAGGGTTTATGTCTCCGCGCACTGATCATTGCAATGATTGACATTCTCTCTGCATCATTTTGCACAACATTTGATCAATAGCCTTATTGTGAACAATTTACTGCAGACATCCTTCGTTACAGAGTATGCTTTCTGTGTGGTATCAACAGTCTGATTAATAATTTCATTAATTCAAATTGCGAAGAATTCGATTAACAACGATGAACT